AATTCAGACCTTGCTATTTTTTTTTTTTTTTTAAGCGACTATCTAATCCTCACTAAGATGGGTCGAGTTGAGTTAGTCTACCAATTTAAACGTCTCTATGAGATCTGGTGTCTTTGTGAAAATTGTAATTGAAGATTTCAACTTGTAAGTGTTGAGAATTCTCGTTATTTAAGTTCCTAATAACGACCTAGTCTCTAATAAACAATTTTTATCCACTTAACAGACAGATGAATGAGTTCAATATAAGCACGAAATATCATTGTCAGTGTGTGATTATCAAATTCGCAAACTCTTCTAAGATACAACTATAGTGAACCACTCTGTTAATGATGAACTCTCAAGGGCGGGTTGCGCTGTAGTTTCTTCAACTTTTGCTAAAGCTTCGTAAGACCAATTGAAATAATTGAAAAGAAATTTCGATACAAGAAAGTACGAATTACATTGTTTTGTCCAAACCAAGAAGTTACAATTGAATTTAAAAACTAAAAATGTGAAAAAAAAATCATTAATTAGGAAAATAATGAATGTGTGATCATGTGACAAGAATTTAGAAATTAAAAATAATAATAATAATAATAATAATAATAATAATAATAAATAAAAAATTGAATAATGTTATTTAGTCCCACTGGAGTTGCAACCTCAATCTTGATGTCGCTAAATAATAGGTTAAATGAAAAATCAAATTAAATGAGTCATTTAATTTTACTTATTTAATAACATGTCAATACCATCTAAAATGGGGTTACAACTCCATAGGATTACATAACATTATTCAAAAAGATTCGCGAAAACATTTATGAAATTAGAATTCAAAATTTATTCCTCCACGTATTAATTTCTCATAAATAATTCTAAGGAGAATTCTTACTACTTGAATTAATTAAACAAATCTTTGTAAAATTAAAGAGTCGAGTTATTTTACAAATAAAATATATATGTGTGTGTGTGTGTCCAGTTATATTCTAAGTAAATGTGGGAGGTGACAAAGTTATTTCTATATTTAGCTAGCTATGGAAAGAAATAATTATGTATAGAATTGAATAATGAATAAGAACCATTTCGTTTAAAGTTGCTTTTGAGACATTTGCTCAATGACTTAAAGTATTGCCTCTCATATTCCCTTCTCTAGGCAAAAAGGAAAACACAAAAGAATATATTCGTTCACTAAAATTGTAAAGGAAGGCACGTCGTTTTGATTTTAAAGGTGTTGTAAATATACTTATAAATAAATAAATCCGCTTCTCACCGGCACTTTAAAATTTTAGATAAGAAGATTCATTATAATATTAGAGTAGATAAAAGTCGTTAGCAGCGCTAAAGTCTCAATGTGATAAAATACTACCTCATATTTACTCTAGTGAGTGTTCTCCGAGCTCTTATTCATTTAATTTAATCTTAGTTTGTCGATATTGTTGTGTGCGTGTATTCTAGAAGAGATAAACAAACACCTTTGATCACAAGGCATTTTGACTAGCATGCCAAGATAGAAAAATGAATTTCCTTCTGTGGAAAAATCTTTGAATTTGGCCCTTGTGAAAGGAATCATCACTTTTGGAAAGAGATGATGATCATTGCTCTCTAAATCAACGGTGTGGTGAGTTGATTCTTTATCGGATTAAATCCATTAATGGTTATCCAACTTTATATTTGGTGTCATCATGGTCATTTAATTTGATTTTGTTTCATCACAGTCACTCATCTTTATACATAGTATCATCCTGAACATACAATTTTATATAACGTTTCACCATAGCCATCCAATTTCTTTTCACTAATTTTAAAATAGATAAAATGATAACTTTGTATTATATATAAAAATTAATTTAAAACAATAATAAAATAAAAACTTATTTTTAAAAAAAGGTTACTTAAACAAATAAAATAAAAACTTATTTTGAAAAAAAAATCGTTACTTAAACAAATAAAATAAAATAAAGACTTCTTTTTAAAAAAAAATGTTTTTTTTTTTAACTTAAAAATTATATTAAAAAAATCGTTCATGAAAAAAATTTAAAAAAAATTAATTTTACAAAAACGTTACTTAGAAAAATAAAAACTTAATTAAAAAGAGTTTTTAAAATTAAAAAATATATATATTATTTTTTATATTTATTTTTATATAAAATGCAAAGTTACCATTTTACCCCTTTTTTAAAATTAGCGTAAATGGTGGAAAAAATTGGATTACCATGATGAAATGTTATATAAAATTAGATAGTCATAATAAAATAAAATCAAATTGGGTGATCAAGATGACACTAAGTTTAAAATTTGTGTCATGGTAAAAGAAAATTAAACTAAGTGACCATGATGATACTAAGTATAAATTTGGGTAGCTATTGGTGATTTAACCCATGCTTCTTCTTTTTTTTAATGCCTCAAGTGTCCGAGTTTCATCCAACTAATCCTGAAAAGTGACAGCCTTGCCCCAGGTTCACCATTCGAGTATTCGAATGTAGTCACAGGTTATACGCACTTGAGCTGGACATTTAGGGTGCGATTTTCCTCCATGTGAATCTTCATTGATGACGTGCGAACAAGACCCCCGAAAGGGCGACAAAGCGCACCATAACTTTTCACAGGACATCTGCCTTCCAACTATCGCGGGGATTCGAACCTCCGATACTCCGTAGAGAACCCTCCTGTTTTATCACTACGCCATGCTCGTGGGGGGCAAATTTAACCCTTTATCACATAATATATTTGTAAAATACATAATCAAGTGGTTTGCAAGATCATGTGTTAGGGATAAAATAGATAAAAGTATAGACCAACTTATAAGAGTTTAAATTACTCATCTTAATAAGATTTACATTTTAAGATAAAATCTCAAATTTTAATATGATAACAAAACCCATGAAACTCAAATGAACAATTCAATCCGATTAAGCATGCAAGCTTTAAGATGAAATATCAATATCATGAATGTAAACTTCAATGACTGAATTTATTGCTTTCAAGGAGCATTCTGGCCTATTAAACGACCTTGATAAAAAAATTTGTCAAAATCTGATACGTGGAAGTCACACAAGATATAGATATATCAACGAAATCTGTTGTAGTTCCAAATTCCATGAAATGAATAAGAAAGTAACAATATAAACTATAAGAATCCAGATATGTTTATATAGCAGAAGCATCTTTATGATTCAAGTTTTAACAATGTTCATAAAAATTAATAGAACACAACAGAAGATTTTCTTCCCTACCGAAAGATCCAACCCTGTAATCTTTGAAGCTAAAATTTAATGTTAAGAACCTTACCAAGAGACCGATCAGTTTTAACAAGATCATCGTGTTTGAAACCGTTAGTGGTACTAGTATCTTCAGAACTTGGATCTTCGTGTAGTGAAGATATGGCAGCCTTTCTCCTTTGCTTATGCTCTGTCCGCCTTTTTATCTCTTCCACCAGTGCTGCTTTTGCCTTCTCGGCCGCCTCTGCCCTGCTTGTGGCCTGTTCTGCTCGAACCCTGAACTCCCCGATTTTTGACAGTGCTACTTCTAACTCGTTCTTCAAACCCTCATATTCCAGCACATTTTCATGCAAGGGTGCAATCTTCTCAATCAAGATCTCATGAACATCTGTTCCATCTTTCCTTTCTTCAAAGATTTTCTGCTCCTCGTCGGCTTTTGGAAGCTCCATGGACTGGGTATGGTTGTCGTCGGGGGGTTCCAAAATGTTGTCCCTTTTACTTTCGTCTGCCAATTTTTTAGCTTTCTTTAACTCTTGATTCTCTTTCTTGGCTTCTTCAAATTCTAATGAAAGCTGCTGAAGTTTATTTTGTAGTGCTGATGTGTCACTCTTTGATCTTGCTTCAGAAACCTCAGTTGCAGCAAGCTTCAACCTCTCATTCTGAAGTTCAAATTTCAGTAACGCCATCTCAACTTGTGCCTCATTCTCTTTTTCTCTACTCTCAACCGCTTCAGCTCTAATCTTCTCCAAATCTGATTTCATGTTCTCAGCATTTGTTTTCAGGTGGCAAACTTCTTCTGATGATTTTCCAAGTTCCATTTTCAATTTTTCAAGTTCTGTCTCGAGCAAACTGCTATAAGCTGCTTGATCCAAGTACTTTCTCCCTTGCAGTTCCATATCTGCTTTCAGCTGGGCTAACTTGGAAGACGCATCGGAAGCAACTTCCTCAGAACAAATGCGAAGCTCGTTTGCTTGCTTAAGTTCCAATTGCAATGAATCTATAAGTGCCGACTTCTCCAGAAGCTGATTCTCTAAGTCATGAATAATTTCCAATCTCTTCTGTGCTTCAGCCAACTTTCTTTCTGCTATTTCTAATTCAGTCTCTTTCTCAGACACCGCTTCGGCTTTTTCCTTCTCTACTTCAAGAGCTTTCAGCTTCAAATGCATAATATTTTCATTCAGTTCTGACATGTGCTTCAAAATCTCTTCCATTTTCAGCTTTTCTTGGCTTAAAGCGCTTTCCATAGCCTCGATTTGTATCGTGAACTCAACTTTTGCATGTTTCAAGTCTGCAATTTCAGCTTGCTTGCTAAGAAGTTGTCCTTGGGTGGACATTAACTCGCTGGAAACATGGGAAAGCTGCTTTTGAGTCATCTCATATTCTGATAATTGATTTTCCATCTCCTTAATTTTGGATTCAAGTTCATTTACACGAATATTTGCTTCTTGGCATTCATTTATGTAAAATTCTTTCTTAAAATCAGAGTTCTTCAGCAGAGTTGAAAGTTCTTCTGATGTTTTCTGATAGTGATCTAGCTTAAGAAGTGTTTGCTTGCAGGAGGATTCCTTTTCCTCTAGTTGTTTTAGCAGGCTTTCGACTTTGCTTTCTTCCTCTATATTCTGTTAGAACAAGAAAACACTGCATATAATAGATTTCTTGTGATAATCCATATTGTATATAGTTTTAATTCCCTTTTCTGTAAGATAATTGATGACATGGCAGTTAGTTAGTATTTTGTTTTTTTGTTTGAATTGTACAGCTTTTCATTTGGTTAGTTAGTCAAGAACTAAATTCTATATATACTTGTAAAGAATTGATCAATAAGGCAAGGGAGAATATCCACTATCACGTTATTGCTCATTCTTCATCTTCTAGAATTTGTTAGCTGTGATGCTCGGACTCTTCATTCCGGCCAGAGTACCCGTGTTGACATGACACGACACGGAATGGGTATAAAATATGAGGCGGACACGGCTGGTTTTTCCCTTCTTTTCCCTTCTTTTTTTTCTTCCTCCCCCTTTTCTCCTTTCCCATTTCTGCTCTGCGAAGGAAAGAGTGGGGTCCAGCAGTGTCATAACTGGAGAAGAGGTGGTCTTTGGAGGCTCAACTAGAGGAGGCGGAGCGGCTGCAGCAGGTAGAGCCTCCAGAGCAAAGAGAAGGAAGAGAATCGAAGACAGAGAAAGTGAAAGGAAAATAATAACCTAGGTTAATGACTAGGCTTTCGTTGGGCTTCTGGTTTAATCATGAACTTTTATTTCTATGCATGTAGACCTGTATTTATGACTTTATTTGGCCTATTTATTTTTTATTTATTGAAATAATTATTAAAAAAATAATTAAAATATGTTAAAAAAAACTCTTAAACTTAATATTCATTTTTGAAAGTATATATTATAACAAAAACTTATTATTTTAGTATAAATTTTAGATAGTTTTAAGCGACACGTTCTATTTTTTAACAATTTGTCACTTAATTTTTATTTCATTTTTTACATACGAATTTCTACAAGAAAATTTTTTGAAGTTTGAAAAACATACCCACGTACCAGTACTCGAAATTTGAACTCTTTTTAGTCATGTCCCCGTACCTTATATTTTAGAAAATAAAATATCCGACACTTAGATACGTGCCCGTACCCGTACCCGAATCCAAGCATCATAGTTTGTTAGTCCATGTTAAAGGATCGGTGTAAGCATTTTCAAATAGATCTATAGATCCATTGATCGATCACAATTAATCCTTGATACTATTAACTAAATTTAGTTGTGCACTGTAATATCACTCAAACAAACAGCATAATGAAAGTTATACATAGAGTTTGGAAAGAAAAAAGAAAATCCAACTATTTCGACCTCATATGTTATATGGTACCAAGTGCTGGACCATCAAAGGACGAGATATTCATAAGATTTAATGTATGTAGTATGTGAGGGCAGAATTGGAGGTGGCAGTATTGAGAATAAGTAAAGGAATGACGACTTAGATAGTTAAATAGGCTCTTGAAAACAAAATTGATGTGCTTTCATTCTTAAAATGTTTACAAAAAAGAGAGAGGTAAGTCTAACAATACCATATGTGATAGCTAAAGATGTAGTTGTTTCTGATCTTCTAGTAGATCTAGCGAGGCATCAATCAATGGCAATGTAGAAAAAAATTAAGTAGCCGATCTCAAATTTAATAGAAACAAGGCTAAGTTTGTTTTTGTTAATCCATCAAACCTATGATCTCACATATACTGATTATTTAGGCATGCTTTGCTCCTAAGTAGGAAATCATGGTCAACAAGCACACAATGTTTCAGTTTTCCCTGATGAATTTGGGGTCGGCTATGTGAATATATGTTCATCACTCGGTTCCGTTCATTCTAGATCTAGCGAAACATCTAAAGCAACTAAAACTTTGATGTAGAACATGTGTAAAATTTGTAAATAAATTACCTCGGTGCTATTTCCCTCTTGAAAGAAAGTACGCGCAGTTTGAACCGATTGAACTGGTGTTTCACCCATCTCCCACATACTTTGTCCACAAAGGAATCCCAAAAAATTGATCAAAATTGCGTTAAATTTTACAGATCCTGAAAAAGAATTAGAAACACATACAGATCACACTTCACCTTCCAAATAAAATTGTAATTCCAATTTAAAATTGGAAAAACCCCTAGAAGATACCGACAATCGCAAATTAAATAACAAATAATAATGAGATGGAATTCACACAAAATTTAATACTTGTTAACTACAGCGCAACTGTCACAACTGTTCAAATCGTCACATCGAAAAACATTAAATTAAAAACCAAAACATAGCCAATAACGTACTTGAAATGAAAGGAAGCCAACTGTAAATTTCGTGGAGGAACCAATGAAAAATCTGGCAGTGCGAACAGGAGGAGGGAAGATCCCACGGAATTATATATGGTTTTCTTTATGAGATTCATTGCAAGATTATTGGTGTAAACGAGGAAATTTCGTATGCATTGAAGAGTCCAGATAAATTCTTGTAAAGATCGTCCAATGAAGGGAAACAACAGATTTTGATTGTTCTGTTTGGTGATTCTTGTTATTGAGCCAAAAAACAACAGATTTTGATTTTAATTGTTTCTAAGAAGTAGACTGTCGTACATTACCGCTTTTTCATTTGTCCCGTCCCCCCGCCTTTTTCCCCTGGGTCGGATGGTTTGGTTCCAATTGACAAGAAGATTGGGAAGTGGCCTAGGATGGCCCATTTAAAGAGAGAGCCCGTGCCAAGGCCCGTTTTATGTTATTAGAAAATTGCATCACTCAAACATTTGAACTAAAGATGGCAATTCGACTCACCGGCTCGAGCCGTCTGTAGCTCGGCTCGAGGCTCGGTAGAACTGGGCCAAGGCTAGGGCCGAGCCCGAGCCGACAACGAGTCTTAAAAAA